AACCACACAGGCTAGAAGAGAATGTGATGATATATTCAAAGTGATGAAAGAAAAAAACTGCTAGCCAAGCAAAGCTATCCTTCAAAAATAAAGAAGAAGTCAAGTTTTTCCCAGACAAGTAAAAACTGAGGGAATTCATCACCACTAGACTGGTCCTATAAGAAATGCTTAAGGGAATCCTACATCTGGAAGCAAATGGATAATATCTACCATAATGAAAATACATGAAAGTATAAAACTCACTGGTAGAGCAGACACACAAAGGAGAAAGAGAAAGGACTCAAATGTTATCACTACAGAAAATCACCAAGCCACAATGATAAACAATAAGAGAGGAAGAAAAAAAGACAAAGAATATATCAAATCAAAAACTGTAAAAAGAGACAAAGAAGGTCATTATTTAATGATAAGGGAATAAATTCAAAAAGAGGATATAACAGTTTTCAATATATATGAACCCACCAGAGCACCCAGATATATAAAGCAAATATTATAATATTAGCTCTAAAGGGAGAGATATAGAATAATAATATGTTATAATATTGTAACATAATAATAGTTGGGAACTTCAACATCCACACTCAGCATTAGACATCATCTAGACAGAAAAGCAAGAAAGAAACAATGAATTTAAACTGTACTTTAGACCAAATGGACCTAACAGACCCCTACAGAACATTTTATCCAACGGCTGAAGAACACATATTTTTCTCATCAGCACATAGAATATTCTCCAGCATAGGTCATATGTTAGGCCATGAAACAAGTTTCAACAAATTTCAAATAATTGAAATCATATCAAATATCTTCTCAGACCACAATTGAATAAAACTAGAAAACAATACCAAGAAGAACTTTGGTAACTATACAAATACACAGGAATTAAACAACATACTCTTGAATAACCACTGGGTCAATGAAGAAATTAAATAGGAAATCAAGAAATTTCTTAAAACAAATGAAAATGGAAACATAACATATCAAAACCTGTGAGATACAGCAAAAAACAAAACAAAACAAAAAAAAAGTGCTAAGAGAGGTTTAGAGCAATAACTGCCTACATAAAAACCAGAAGGATTCTGAATAAACAATCTAACTAGGCACCTAAAGGAACTAGAAAACCAAGAAAAAAATAAACCAAAAATTATTAGAAGGAAAGATAATAAATATCAGAGCAGAACTAAATAAAATAGGGACTGAAAGACAATACAAAAATCAAGCATAGGGAAAGTTGGTTTTTAGAAAAGATGAGCAGCATAAATAAACTGCTAGCTAGACTAAGCAAGAAAAAAAGAGAGAATAAATAAATAAATCCCAAATAAATAAAATCAAAAATGAAAAAGGACATATTACAACTGATACCACAGAAATACAAAGGATCATTGGAGACTATGAGGACAACTATATGCTTATAAATTCAAAAACCTAGAGGAAATGGAAAAATTCCTAGACACATAAAACCTGCCAAGATTGAATCAGGAAGACATAGGAAACTTGAACATTTTCCTCAAACTCTGTGCTTGAAAAAAAAATGAGAAAAAGAAAAAAAAAGGAAGCTTGAACAGACCAGTAACAAGTAAGGAGATTTAATCAGTAATAAAAAGTCTCCCAACAAAGCAAAGCCTAGTACTGGATCATTTTACCTAGTAGTGAATGGATTTATAAATTTACCAAATTTATGAAGAAGAACTAATACCAATTCTTTTCAAACTATTGCAATAAATTAAAGAGGAGAGAATTCTTAACTCATTCTATGAGGCCAGCATTCCCTGATACCAAAACCAGTGAAGGATACAACAAAAAAAGAAAACTACAAGCCACTATCTCTGATGAGCATAAATGAAAAAATCCTCAACAAAATACTAGCAAACAGAATCCAATAATACATCAAAATGATAAAACATCATGATCAAGTGGGATTTATCCCAGGGATGCAAGGAATGATTTGACATACACAAATCAATAAACATGATACAGCATATCAACAGAATGAAGGACAAAAACCATATGATCATCTCAATAGATACAGAAAAGCATTTGATAAAATTTAACATCCTTTCATGATAAAAATTCCCAATAAATTAGACACAGAAGAAACATACCTCAATGTTATAAAAGTCATATATGACAAACCCACAGCTAACATCATACTGAGTGGGGAAAAGATGAAAGCCTTTCCTCTAAGAACTGGAGCAAGACAGGATACCTACTTCATCACTCTTACTCAACATAGTACTAGAAGTTCCAGCCAGAGCAATTAGACAAGAAAAAGAAATAAGGGAATCCAAATTGGAAAAGGAAAATTTAAGCTACCCCTCTTTGCAGATGACATGATCTTATACAGAGAAAAACCTAAGAACTCCATAAAAAAGTCTTAGAATTGATAAAAAAATTCAGTAGGATTGTAGGATACAAAATCAACATACAAAAATCAGTTACATTTCTAGATACCAATAACAAAGAAATCCTATTTACAATAGCTACAAAAATAAAATAAAATATCTTGAAATAAATTTAACCAAGGAAGTAAGAGACCTCTACAAAGAACACAACAAAACACTGTTGAAAGAAATTGAAGAGGGCACAAACAAATGGAAAGACGTTTCACGCTCATGGATTGGAAAAATTAATATTGTTAAAATGACAATACTACCCAATGCAATCTACACATTCATTGCAATCCCATCAAAATACCAATGACATTCTTCGTAGAAATAGGAAAAAAAATCTAAAAATTCATATGAAACCACAAAAGACCCTGAATAGTCAATGCAACATTGAGCAAAAAGAACTAAGCTGGAGGTATCACACTACCTGACTTCAAAATACACTAAAAGGGACAGTAACCAAAACAGGATTACATTGGTATAAAAACAGACACATAGACCAATGCAACAGAATAGAGAATCCAGATATAAATCCATGTATTTACAATCAATTGATATTCAACAAAAGTGCCAACAACATGCATTGGGGAAAGGACACTCTTTTCAATGAATGACGCTGGGAAAACTGGATATTCATATGCAGAAGAATTAAACTAGACTCCTATCTTTCACCATATATAAAAATGGACTCCAAATGGATTAAAGACTTAAACATAAGACCCAAAATGATAAAACTACTAGAGGAAAACATAGGGGCAATGCTTCAGGATATTGCTCTGGACAAGGGTTTTATGGATAAGAGTCCAAAAGCATAGGCAACAAGACCAAAAATAGACAAAGGGGACTACATTAAACTAAAATGCTCCTGCACAGCAAAGGAAACAATCAATAGAGTGAAGAGATAACATGTAGAATAGGAGAAAATATCTGCAAACTGTTCATTCAACAAGGGACTAATATCCAGAATATACAAGGAACTCAAACAACTAAACAGCAAAAAACAAATAATTCCATTAAAAAGGAAGAGAAGGATCTGAATAGACACTTCTCGAAAGAAGACACACAAATGGCCAATAGGTATATGAAAAAATGTTCAGCATAGCTAATAACCAGGAAAATACAAATCAAAACCACACTGAGATATTATCTCACCCCAGTTAGAATGGCTATTATCAAAAAGACAAAACATAATAGATGCTGGTGATGATACAGAGAAAAAGGAACTTTTATACACTGTTGGTAATAATGTAAATTAGTACAGCCAATATGGAAAACAGTATGGAGCTTTCTCAAAAAACTAAAAATTGCACTACCATATGCTTCAGCAATCCCACTACTGGGTATTTAGCCAAAGGAAAGGAAAACAATGTATCAAAGGGAAACCTGCACCCTCATGTTTATTGCAGCACTATTCACAATAGCCATGATATAGAATCAACTTAAGTGTCCATCAGTGGATGAATGGATAAAGAAAATGTGGTATATACACACAATGGAATATTATTTAGCCATAAAAATAATAAAATTTATTTGCAGCAACATGGAGGGAACTGGAGGTCATTATATTAAGTGAAATAAGCCAGGCACAGAAAGACGAATACCATATGTTCTTGCTCACATGTGGGAGCTAAAAAAAAGCATGGGGCTAGAAAGTAGAATGATGGCACCAGAGGCTTGGAGCAGTGTGGGGGGATGAAGAGAAGTTGATTAATGGGTACAAATATACAGTTAGATAGAAGTTCCAGTGTTCGATAGCACAGTAGGGTGACTATAGTTAACAACAATATATTGTATATTTCAAAATAGCTAGAAGAGATTTGAAATGTTCCCAAAATAGAGACACGATAAACGTTCGAGGTAATGGATATTCTAACTATCTTGATTTGATCATTACACATTGTATGCATGCATCAAAATATCACATGTACCCTATAAAGATGTACACTTATTATGTATCAATACAAAAAATTACCCAAAACCCCTTCCTTCAAGGAAATCTCCAGGCCTGGATGTCTCCACCAATGAATTCTCCTAATACTTAAAGACACTAATTCAGACACTAGAAAGAGAAGAGACACTTCCCAACTCATTTTATGAGGCCAGCCTAATCCTGATTCCAAAACTTGTAAAGGACATTACAAGAAAGGAAAATTACAGGAGTAATGTCTGACCTCTGAAGTGGAAGTTGCCCTAGTGTCTCAGCTAGAGAGATTTTGTCCTGGGGCTCCACGTATAATATTAAAATGTGATCATAGATCTGCCAGAGATTACGTTGAACCTTCCCCCTGTAATTTGTCAAGCTCCCTTTGTTCCCGAATAGACTAATTCTCTCATTAATGATGTGACTCTTTGGGCTGACTGTTGTGTTTTTTCTTTCATTGTCTCCTTATCTCTTGAACAATGCCTAAACTTTTGTCCAGTTTTACATTAAGACCCATGTATTTATTTTAATACGAACTCAGACCACTCTTCTCTGTGCATAATAGGGCCAGATACATGCTGACTGTTGTATGACTTTGCTTAAGGCTGTCCATGTCTTATTGGTATTCCAGCTTTATTTTCAATCCCACTATCCCGTTCCCACTACCTGCATGCCCCTAAGCATTTTCATACCTGATGGAAGTCACCCACTTGCCGTACATAACCAGCCACTTCATCGTCAGATTTGAAGATCTTCCAGACTTTTCTCTCTGACTTCTCATATTCCCGGGACCCTTTCCAGTCCATGGCCATCAAGGAGCGCTCTGTCAGGGGAGCTGCCACAATGATGTCCAGCTGGCCATTGTAGATCAGAACCTGAAATGAAATCAAGCCATCAGCAAGTGCAGGATTCGGAAGGTAAAGCTAGTGAATCTACTTGGTATAAACAGTGAGCCACTGAGGCAGAAAAGAAAACATGAGCATCTCTGATGTCATGCTCAACGTGGCCAGGCCAGCAGATCAGATGGGACACATTTGCTTCCAGTTATCCATAAACACCAACAATCTGAAATAGACTCAAGCCTTGTCTCCACCATTGCATTCTTCACAGTAATCTGCATAAAGGCTTCTTTTGGTTGCAAAAATGTTTGTGCTGTATTACTCAGTGATACATAGATAGGCTTTACTTGGATGTATGGTTATGTTAAGAAGGAGGACTGTGGTTACATTTCAGTGGAACTAAGGGACACTACACCCTAGGATTTTTCTGAAGCCTGCATTTCATGAACTTCAACTTCAGCCACCGCAGAAGCCGGCAAGCTGGGCATTCTCTCAGGTATTGCTGATCCATATTGCTCTCCCCTCCTACATTGATTTTAGTGGCAACTATAATTTTTTGCAGCAGAGAGATGTAGGTGCCTCAAATTTGTTACTTATTGGAGGCAACTATGCCTGCCACGCCACTTCCAAGATTTCCTTTTCTTATACACAACAGCCAGTTGTCAACAGTGAGGAATGTCCTTTCTTCCTAGAATACAATTTTTTTTAAAGTCAAACTGATGGTTATCATAGGAGAAACAATGCTGAGGCAACTCTTTTCTCCCAAAACAATTTTCAATTTGTTTTGAAAAAGAATTCGGATAATACCCAGTGCTGGTAAAGTTATACTGAGGATGGTATAAAATGGCACTACCCTTCAGGAGAGCAGTGGTCAATTCTGTGCCCAAAGACTTAAAAATGTTGAGACTCTTTGTTCCAGTAATCCCATTTGTAGAATGTCTTCTGTGAAAATAAACCCCAAGGAAATAAAAAAAATTATGTAACCTATTCATCGAGTCTTATTATAACTAAGAACTCAAACACAATCTAAAAGTCCTATCCTTGGTGAGTAGTTAGATACACACTGGTATGGGAATTCTGTCGAATATGGTAAAGCCATTTAAAATGTTCGATTGAACCGTGACATACTGTGGGAAATGCTTATCACATCATGTTAAGTATGAAAGCTGAAAGTCAAATATAAGATATACCACAATTATGACTGTATAAAATAGGTATGCATGTTCATATATATGGAATGAAAAGTTTGAAAAAATTAATACAGTTGGTTGATTCAGATGGTAGAAATCTGGGTAATTTCCCCCTTAGTTTTCTACTCTTCTTATGCTAGTTTTACGCAACTAACATGATATTAATTATGGTGGAGTATTGCCACTCCACCTCCGACAAAGAGGTTTTCCCCAACTCCATGCTACCTTTGATCACGCGGAGGCTCTGATTTGGCCCAAATGGTTGAATCCTCAAATTGGATGCAAAACGTTTCACTGCATATGTTTCTGTCTCTGCCTTCGTGGTGCAGCCTTCTTGAAAGGCTTAAACATAATTAAAAAGCCCCGGACTTTTACACACTCCAAATCCTCCAGCGGCAGCGGGACAGGATTCAGACTAAGATGAAAGAGCACCGGGCCCCGGCAGCAGGAACCCGTGTTTCCTTTCATGTTCCTCTGCCACCATCTCCACCCCCACGTTCCTGAGCAGAAATCTAAAGGGGCAAAAATCCTGATAGATTTAAAGCCTCTTTAAAAAACTCAACTGAACTATAGCAATAAAGTATTTGCATTCTTTATACAAAGAAATTACCTCAAAGACCTTGAGTACGTATGGCCTATGCAAAACCTCTTACAGTTGTTTTAGCCATCAGTATGGAAACAATTATATATGATCAGTACCAGCCAACAAGGCTTAAACACTTCATCATTCTAAGAAGACCTGATTATAGCTGATTAACAAAGATACTCGCACACAAAGTAACTCCTCTTATAGAATTCAGTGGAAAGATGCTGATTAGTCAGCAAATACACAGTGCATCTATTTATTTTTCATGGCCACTCTATGCAGCTTGTATCTTCTCCCATAAATGTCTCTTGAAGCTACCTTTACTGACTATCATCATTAAATTCTGAAATCAATGAGAATTTTTTTCATCCTTGAGGGACAATAGCAGAATCCACAGGTTACAGCAAAAACAGGTTTATATAAACAGCATTGTAGTACTTGTTTGTTGAACTGAATTGAAATGAGGCCCATCCCTGAACTGTTTCCCTTGTTATTCAAGACTCGGCACGAACAAGAGCACCAACTCTCTGGACTAGTCAGGCGGCGGAGAACTGAACTGTGTCATCTCACATACACGATGTATAGAAGGCCTACTTTTTGGAGCAAATGGAAATTCTCTTTCTGCAACGCAAGGAAAACATTTTTAACTTCTAAAGGGTACATAAGTCAAATGCAACAAAAAAGAAATCAGATTAATGATCAAGTGAAGTGATTTCAGAGCTGACATTTAAGGCGGCTGGCATAAAATATAAGAATTCTAGAGCTTTCCTTTTTATCTAAATGTCACATTTACTCTCATGAGCCCCTACAGGAGTATCCCAGTTGGGTGTCTCTAGGCTGGATGAGTGAGAAACACTCACCCCAAGATCCTGGGACTGAGCAGGGGAAGCCGGGTGGGCGAGGAGTATGAGTGGTCCTGAAGCCCCAGGGAACATGTTGGCTACTCATATTCCAGAGCAGGACCTCAGCTCCGACAAATTGGCCAATCACGACAAAGGCATGCACACTCGCCCCACTTCTGCCCTGGTAGAGTGACCAACTGTCCCGGTTTTCCTTGGACTGAGGGGTTGTGTAGGATGCAGGACTTTCAGTGTTAAAACTGGGACAGTCTGGAGCAAATCTATGCCTGAGGCTTGCTAGTATTTTAAGCAACAAAGTCTAAAGACAGAGGGGAGGAGACGGAGATGAATGCAGCTTTTAGCCACACTTCCCTTGTCGGTAGTGATTTGAACAAAACAAGGAGCAAGGAAAGAGCTGGTTGCAGTAGGTTTCCAGCGATGCACCAGGCAGTGCCCTGCACGCTCGTTTCCTCACTTTCCTTTCTGGTCAGCTGTGAGGGCTCAGCTCAGGAGCAAAAGCACTTTTTTTAAAGAGACTTTTCTTTTACTCCTTACAGGGCTGGCTGGTGTACTTCATTGAAATCGATGGTTATGAGAGGACGTGGAACAAGGCTTAGCTTATGAAAAAAATCAATGAAAAACTGTGATTCCATTTGTTTAGACTCTATAATTAGCACATTTTAAAAACCTGCTTTAAACTTGGGAAAAGAATACAGCAAAATACTGGCAGTTAAGGTAGTCAAAGTACAGTTGATTTGTTTTGACTATTTTCTAGTTTTTTGGTAAATGTGGTTAGACTGCTTTTATAATGAAAAAGATAACAAGATGAACAATAACACTAAGAGGCTGGCACTTCTGTTTGGCAAAAGATGGGTCTTCCGCGGGAATAATTTGTAGTAATTCAAATACTACCAGCTCTCAATTTTTCATGGCAACTAGGTCAAAAGCGTAACTTCAGTTCATAGATTATCTTTAAAAACTCATCCCAGAATTCAAGCATTCACAAGAGATGGAATTAGGTGATTTGGATTACAAGCATCTTTTTTTTTTTCTTTGTCAAACAGTAGAGATGAGAAAAACATTTTTATTACGGTTCTTTTTTTTTTTTTTACTTTTCAAAACACTTTCATGCACATATGTCTTTATTCTTGCGCTGCTTCACAAGGTCAGGAGCAGAGGTATTACACTGCCGGCCTCCACTTTACTGTTAAGGAAATTAAGACACCGTGAGGCCCCAGAATGCGTCCTAGATCCTGGACCTGCAAACTTCTACCTAAAACTTTTCCTTAAGAAAGGAGCTAAATTTCTTCAAACCATCAAGCATTTCTTGACTCCCACACCTAAATGTTTAGTGTTGCTAGAAGCCTCTGGAAACAGAGTTGGTTGAGTATGAGACATAGTACGTATCTCCAGTTCAGAAACAATCTTGGTCTGTTTGTCCAACTCTGGTGACATCTCTCAATCACTTCTCACTTAGGCCCTATGGACAAGGATGTGTGCAAGGGCATTATTCAGAGCTGGTGACAGATGTCTTCCTTCTGTTTTAGGGGGTGGCCTTGATAAACAGTTGAGGAATACCATTAGCTTCTTGAGAACAGGAACTCTCTTAGTGCTTGCTGTATCCCTAAGCCTTGCACATGCGTGGCAGCCCACAAAATCTATTGCAAGGTATCTTGCAATATCTATCAATTCTGCTTTTCAAAGGTTTTGTGTGATGCTGCATAGTGACCATCTGCTGTTTTCGCACACCCAGGTCCATTCTCCCTTCTCCTGGTAACTATACTTCAGACCAGCCTTGTCCTCAATGGATACAGCCCTGATGGGAGCTGTCAATCACAGTGTCCTGTCTCCTCTGTGCAAAGGATATGCAGGTGACCCAAGTTAGGGTACTCAATGGCTAGAATTTGGATCGCAGGCAGAGGCGCACAGGACTTGCTGATAAGTCTGCCTATTAGTTTTGCTACCTAGATCCCCACAATTTTCCCTGATCCCTATCTTTCCCCACCCCAGCTGTTCAGTTTCTCCATGAATTCTATGACCTATCACGTCTTCCAATCAAGTCTTTTCATAATTCAACTAACCAGAGTTGTTACTGCTGCTAAAAACCATGAAATCCAAACTCATATGACATCAGGCCAAAGCCATGTGTGCCAACACACTGTAACTGGGAATCCCTAGACAGGTGGGTTAAGTTCTAAGAGCTTTAGTCCCCTTTTCCGGACAGGAAGATGGTAAGACCTACACTAAATTGTAGGGAGAACTAATGAGATGATACACACAAAGTTCCCAGCACAGTGCCTGACACAAAATAGGTCAGTATTAGGTCTTCCTTCTTCTCAAGCAAGTTGATAATCTGGTAATGCTTTGAAAGACCCAATAAAGCACTTCTAAAATAAAGTTTCAGAATATAGGGATGGTCAA